CCCCAAAACCCCAAAACCCCAAAACCCCAACTTCTAAGAGCAGATTGGAAACTAATAATTTTAGAATTATTAATGGAGATCACAGCTCAAGAGGCAGAAGAAAGCAAGGACCAGGTCATCGAGTAAGTCTAAGTTACATTTGGCTTTGCGATTTTTGCAACCAAAAATGATTGGACTGTGAAGCCTTGTTGTTTTCTAATGTATTTATGCCCTCTGAATTCATTGGTTTGATAAGATTTTAAATTATATTTTATAAGATTTTCAAAAGGGTTTGCTTGTTGCTGCTGAAGGTGCCATTTAGACAATATTAATTAATTTGAATTTACCATATTTGGAAAGCTCTTTTGCATGTAATCAAAAATTTACACTTAGTGGCCTATTACCAAGTTGCAAATATTCTGAGGGTAGAATATGGAGTGTTTCGTTGTTCCTTAGTAATCAAATCCCTAGGTAGCCCCTTCAATTCTGGCCCTAATGCTTTGTGAACAAAAATAAGTTTAGTATCAAAGATAATTTTAGTTTGGCTGATAAAGGCTAGTTAGGTGAACAAAAAGACACTTAAAGGATTTTGCTTTTATCAAAAATTCTTTTAAACTTACTGTGTAGTATTTATCTATGAGGACAAAATCTGTGAATATTGAATACCAAGTGCAAAAGTACAAGAATGTATCGAGGAGACATCTCCAGAACAGACACAAATAACTGTACTAAATTGAAACTGAATTTTCAAATAGTTAGAACCCGAACTCATCACAAATTTAAGGCTAAAACATTTATTTATTAATTATTTCTACTCTAACAAGTTGGTTTTCTATTAATAATTCTTCGATTTCTTTTTGAGTTATTCCACATACTCAGATATAAATTGTTTTAAGACTTAATCTCAAATCTGAAGAACTAGCTAGCCCTTGCACTAAGTACTTGAACTCATAAACATTGCTTTTCAAATAGCAATTTAAAGACCATTCTGTTTGATTCAAATTCAGAGTTTCAATCTGACAATTTGAAAGCGCTCTTGAGAAGTTGGGAACACTTAGAACTGATAGCTCGCAAGATACTAAGCCCAGTTCGTATACATGTCTGAAAGCCGAGATTATTTTCTTAAGTTGCATCTCATTAATTTTGTACTTGATAAAAGATACCTTTTTGACGACTTTGAAGCTAAGCTGAATAAGTGGGTTGTAATAATCAGAAATTTCCTCTCTTAATCACATACCTGAGGACACTTCGAGATTATTAACTTTCTTTGGAAATCAATGATTAATAAAATATAAAATTTGTTTTCGTTTACAGTCTACAGTTACCAAAGTGATGTTGCTTGTACCGAATAAGTTTAAAAGCTCCAGCTTATACACAAATTTGATAAATCTCTGATCATAAAGTCATTCATAAATTTCTCCATGCTCAGAACTTTCTTCAAAGCCTGATTCCAGCAGACTAGTGTCTATTTCCTTTTCGAATATATTATAATAAGCATTGTTGCATCTAATGAAACTCAATCCCCTGTTATTTGAAAATATCAATTTCTCGATACTATATAATCAGAGAGGGTTTAATCATACAAATTTCATATTCATGTTAGAAATCCATCAGATTTTGAAAACTTAATCAAATACACCAACTCTCCAATCAAAAGCAACTCTCAAAAATCACCCCGAATCCTCCCAGACCCAATATCTACCTTCCCCAACCCCCAACCCCCTTCCAAATCCCTCTTCCACACCCCCAAAACTCCCCCACCAGCCACCCTAAACCCCCTCTACCCCAAATCCCCTCTCTTATAGCCCAATCTCCCCCATTCAGGTACCTGGCAGCCAAGTTATTCCTTCCTCTGCGCCTGCCTTCCATTTCTTTCAACTATTTTATAGGAGCAGGGGTTTTGGGGTTTTGGGGTTTTGGGG